AGGAAGACACAGGGGACGGCACGAGGCGAGAGCTTGTCCGCGGAGGTGTCGCGGACAAGAGCCAAGCACCCCCAGACACGAAACCGCGACGCAACACCAGGGGACCCTGTCCAAAGACTGGTCGGTGAAACCTCTGGTCGAGAGACACGTGGCCAGAGGTTCAGCTGGTGCGCGGCGTACCTGACCGCGTAGGGCCACAGAAAATGGGGGGCACAGGCGTGAGTCAGGGAGGTGCGGACGATCTCCATGACCAGGCCTATGCGGCGCTCAGCAACCCCATTCTGCTGTGGGGACTCTGGAAGCGTCCAGGACTGACGAATGCCCTGCTCGTGACAGAATCCAGCGAGAATGCCGGAGCGAAACTCACCCCCACGATCGGAGTGGAGACAGCTGACACGACGACCACGAGTGTCCTCGGTGGTGAGCATCCACCTGATCAGCGTAGAAGTCACCTCAGACTTCTTCGCCAGTGGGAACACTGTGGTGTAGCGGGAGAAGTCGTCAACGACCACCAGAAAGTAACGCTCACGCTCAGGGCCTAGACGAGGGGCGGGGCCCCAGACGTCCAAGTGAAGCGTCTCAAAAGGCTCGGTGGCCGGACGAAGGGAGGAGGAGTGAGGGGTGGCGCGCAGCCTACCCTCGACGCAGGGACGACACGGCGGCGCAAGCGAAGGCGGCAGCGACGGCAAGACACGTGGGAGGCCTAGGACAAGACGCTGACTAGACATAGCGCGTAGACGAGGAAGGGACGGGTGCCCCATCCGGTGGTGCCACAGAACGGTGGGGTGGGCAAGCGACCGGCAGGAGCACGACGCAGCGATTGGAACAGACGTAGGAACCTGACACGACACAGACACCTGGGGGGACGAAGCAACCTGGTGAGACACGGGGACCCGAACGGGGGGGGGAACCGGGGGCAGTGGCAGTAGGGGGGGCTGCTGGTGCGGCCGCTGGTGCTGCTGCTGCTGCTGCTGCTGCTGCTGCGGCTGCGGGTGCTGCTGCTGCTGCGGCTGCTGCTGCGGCGCACGCGGGCCAGTGTGAAGAGTGTAGAGACCCGAGCCCGGCTCAGCAGTAAAGGTAGCAAGAGGCTGGTAAGAGTCTCCGTCAACACACACCGCAGTCTCTCCAGAAGGCTCAAACCACACACCCACGTGCTGACTCACGAGGGGTCGCACGCCCACCAAGTTCCGGGAGAACGAGGGGACGTGAAACCCAGTGAGAGACCCGGAGGGAGCAGCAGGACACGGTAAAGTGGTAGTGTGACGGGCAGTGACTGGTCCCGTAGTGGGATCAGCCAACGCTACAGAAACAGGCGCAGGAAGTGGTGTAAGTGTCGTGCTGTCCCGAAAGAAGCAGTGGGAGGCTCCAGAGTCCAGTGTGAACGACAGCGAAGCGTCCCCTGAGGTAGTCGCTGGTCTAGAGTCTACACAAGTACCTACACTAGCAACAGGCAACTGAGCAAGACTAGCACCTAAGCTAACAACACCAGAGTAAACAGAGTCAGAAACACTAGAGTCAACAACAGGATACATAGCATGAGGAGCACTAATCAGATCAACTAACTGCTCAGCAGACATGCCCCACAGAGCGGAGCCGTAGCGCTGAACCAGAGGAAGCCAGTCAGGAGCAGGACCGCCAACCCCGTAGGTCAACCGGACCGTGTCAGTGAGCTGAGCAAAGCACTGACCAGGGGGGTGAAAGCGGCCACAAGGGTGGCCCCGACGAGGACCTGTCTGAACCTGGTAGGGGCAGGGAGGGTAAGCCGCACCGCGCTGGGGCTGACGCAGCCCCGACCCCGGAGCCAGCTGCTGACGCTGCTGCTGCTGAGGCTGCTGGGAGGAAAGGGGCTGCTGCTGCTGCTGAAGGTGCTGCTGACGCTGAGCCTGGTACCACGCCGCTGCTCCACCTAGCGGGGCCGGCAGTACAGGAGGCGACTGACGAGCTCGGAGGTCGCCGCCACCAGCAGGTGCAGTGGAGTCACCAGCCGCTGCACGAGGGGTCTCTCCAGACGCTGCACTCCCACCACCCCCAGTCGCAACAGCACCCCCACTACCTCCGACGGGACAGGGCGACGGGACGGGACAGGGTGACGGGACGGGGTAGGGCGACGCGACGGGACAGGGCGACGGGACGGGGGGGGGAACAGGCGGGCACGACGCGACGGGGGGAACGGGCGCGACGCGACGGGGGGAAAGGGCGTGACGGGGGGGGGGAAAGGGCGCGACGCGACGGGGGGGGGGGGGGGGGGGGGGGGGGGGATTAGGCGACGGGGAGAAAGGGCGCTAAGCGACGGGGGAAAGGGCGCTAGGCTCGGTAACAACGGAACTGGTACGAACGAGAGGTAGGATCAGGCTCGGGAGGTACGAACGGAGAACGGAGGAACGGGATCCCACAGGATCCTAACCTAGCTGATACCATGTCAGAATGAGGAATGGTGTGTCCATTGATGTTGGTTGGGTTACATATGACAAACCCTAACTTCTGTACCCCCTAAGACAAACCTCACTACAGGCTACAACATTTGACAGATCCTTAGGGCCTTTTTCAGCCCAACAGCTAATACGGGGTGGGTGTTATATCCGACCCCATTTGTACTTGTCAGAATTATGTTGTTATAACTGCATGTAGTTCTAGCGTTGGTGTAGTTATCGTGATATCCTGTTTGGTGGTGTACCCCCTTTCCTACCCTATATGTTGTGACCCTCTCCATAGTGAACAACCCTCTTCTTCTCTTTCGTCATTCTCCTTCTACCCTAGGCTCCTAAGCCTACCGATTCTAACATGGTACAGAGCAGGTTCTTCCTAAGGACCTAAGTTCATATTTTTTTTTTAAGACATGGCTGCTGCACCATCCGTTAAGGCGCCTGGAGCGCCTGCACGTCCCGTCCCGTCGTCGCCCTGCTTTTCTACCCGATATGCACTGCGCGCAGCCCGATTTTCCCCTGCGAAGAACCCGTTTTCCCTTGCGCGCAGCTCGTTCTGCCCCGCGCGCAGCCTGTCCCGTCGATGCGCGACCCGTTTCGACCGCGCGCAGCCCGCCCAGCGCCTCGCCAGGCGCCTCCGCGGACTCCAGCGACGAGCGCCAGCGCCACGGCCACCCGCGAGCGCCAGCGCGGACCGCCGGCGCCAGCACCTGCGCCCAACGCCAGCGCCAGGCGCCACCGCTCGCGCCAGCAGCAGCAGCTACCGCCGCCCGCCCCACCCACCCTCCCTTCCGCGACTTCTGTCGTGGGGAGGGGGGGAGGGGGAGACGTGGGGTGGCGGGTGTGAACCACGAGCAGGCCGTCCCTCCCTTCCCTCTTCCTCTCTCCTTGCAGCACTTGGTGCTGTTGGGGGGGGGGGAGAGAGCGGTTCAGGGGGGATGAGAGAGGTTAATGGAGGGTAAGAGAGATCGGCGAAAACAGCAGCCATGCATCTGCAGCTGTCGCCCGCTGCTACCGTGGCACCTACAGTTGCAGCCCCTGACGCCACTCTCTCTTCATTCGTCTTTCTTTGCTGTTGAGCGGCAGGTGCTGCCGTTGAGCCTGCTGTGCCGCCGCTTGTTGCCGCCGTACGCCGCTCTCCAGGCGACCTGCGCCACATGCACCTTCTCTTTGTTTCTTTCTTGCCTCAGGGCTTACTGCAGTTGTTTCTGCCACTACTGCACTGGTTGTCATTGCTCTTGCGTGCTGTTGCTTTGAGTACACCTGCAGTTTGTGTTCTGCACTTTGCTATTCCTGCATGCAGTTAAGGGGGGATGTCAGAATTATGTTGTTATAACTGCATGTAGTTCTAGCGTTGGTGTAGTTATCGTGATATCCTGTTTGGTGGTGTACCCCCTTTCCTACCCTATATGTTGTGACCCTCTCCATAGTGAACAACCCTCTTCTTCTCTTTCGTCATTCTCCTTCTACCCTAGGCTCCTAAGCCTACCGATTCTAACAGTACTATACCCCCCCTTTTGGGGTGATTTTCTATAACACCCCGTTTTTCTTATAGATTCATATTATAGCTGTTAACGAGTCCGATTCCTTACGGGAAGATATCGCGAGAATTGTTTTCTAGGTGAAATTTCGCGTGTACTTTCACTTAGAATTTGCCAAGATATCCCCCCTCCCACAATTTCACTATCGTCTCGCTGGCAAATCTTCCGCTGCAAGTGGTCCAATATTATAATTTTTAAACACACATGTAGTGTTTTTTAAAATTGTGTATTGTGAAAGCGAAGCTGCTTGTACTGCACAATTGGCATCGTCGAAGCGCGCTAAACGCCCTTCTCCAACTACAAAAACCGTGGGTTGGAGCTCATTTCCCTCCACCCACGTTTCTCAATTTTCAAACGGCTCACTCAACATTCCCACCACCCACCCCAGTGTAAACCGCCTTGCTAATGCCACTTGGATAGGGTACATAATAGCTAGTGTTATTAGTCCGCACTAGCTTATGTCGAACGATGATGCAAATGTTGTAATACGCCATTTGTAAAGAGAACGATGCCAATTGATAAGAAAGAAAGCAAGCTTTCTCAATAGGTGAAAATGACGTTCTAACATGAGGTATAGACACGTGACTAAACCAGTCAAGAAGTGATTGGTAGAGTAAGAACACATCTCCGTGCGCGATTCTGGCCTTGACAGTTGCATGCACCCTCGCCACTCAATTGGCTTTGTTTTCACCCTATCAAGTGTCAGAATTGCCCACTTGAATTTGCCACGTGGCAGCTTCCAGTGGGCAGTCACGTTATCCTTGTATACCCGGTTTTGCGGCACTGGTCAACAATCTTGAAGTGTAGTCAGGTCCCTGATTTTGTTTCACATGTTTTCTACTTGATAAAAAAATTTTACTATATAATAAGACGCTGTTATTATGTAGGATTTTCCTTTGAGAAGACCCCCCCATTTTTTCCCAGTGGTTTTCATAATACCCTAGGGTGTTTTATCCGGGAGAATACGGTAGGAGGATCAGGGTGTAGGAAGGAAGAGTGTAGGGTATTTATGGGGGAGGTGATGGTGGTAACAGGGTTACTGCTGATAGGTGTGACAACTGGGACTAAGGGATAGGAGGCAGGAAGTAGGAAGAGAGAGTGTGGGGTATTTTGGGGGGAGGTGATGGTGGTGACGGTATACTGTAGACAGGTGTGAAGACTGGGACGAAGGGATAGCAGGCCAAGAAGAAGGACGAGAGATTGTAGAGATGGATGGAAGAGGAGAGGGAAGAGGAGGGGATAGGAGGGAAGAGGAGGGAAGAGGAGGGAAGAGGAGGGGAGAGGAGGGAAAAGGAGGGGAGAGGAGGGGAAAGGAGGGGAGAGGAGGGGAGAGGAGGGGTGGGGAGGAGAGAGGAGGGGAGCTAAGGCGAGAGGAAGGGAGAGGAGGCGAGAGGAGGGGAGAGGAGGCGAGAGGAGGGGGGAGGAGGGGAGAGGAGGCGAGAGGAGGGGGGAGGAGGGGAGAGGAGAGGAGAGGAGAGGAGGAGAAAAGATAGGGGAGGAGGGGAGAGGAGGGGAGAGGAGGGGAGAGGAGAGGAGAGGAGGGGAGAGGAGAGGAGAGGGGAGAGGATGGGAGAGGATGGGGAGAGGAGGGGAGAGGATGGGGGAAGAGAGTGAAGAGGGGAGTAAAGGAGGGGGGGAGGAGATAGAGTGAAGAGAGGGATGGAGTTGGAGATGAGAAAAGCAAGAGGCAGGTTCCTCACACGAGGGGACGAGGGGAAGGGTGAGAGAGGTAGTCAGTGAGAGAGAGAAACGCGAGAAAGAAAAAACGAGGGTGAAGGCTGGGGTTGTGGGTGATTGATAAGACACATAGAAGATTGAAAAGGAGATGACAGGTAAGGTGAGAGGGAAGGAGTTGGATTCGCAGTACGTGGAGAGCGGGGAGGAGAGGGGAGGGGGAGGAGAGGGGAGAGGGGGGAGGAGAGGGGAGGGGGGAAGAGAGGGAGGGGGTAGGAGAGGGGAGACGAGGGAGGGAGGGGGGCGGAAATGGCGGAAGGGGGTAAAGGAAGGGTAATGAGAGAGAGTGGAAGAAGGGCAGGACGGGGGTTGTGAATATGAGGGGAGAGGGAAACAAGTAAGTAGACTGACAATACCGCTGCTTCATTTGGATATGTCACTCTCTATATGGAATTTTCGAGCACATTATCTCAGTTCGTATTATTATGGAAATAACAGCGTTGTTGAAAAACGGCGAGACACACTTAACCTCGAATACGTTTGTACCTTGCATTCTATTTTTTTTTTTATTGATCAAAATTGCAATGTCAGACCTATTTCGGCAGAACGCTCGCCTTGTCCTTCTCGTACTTCACGTAGAGCGCGCCAAGCCCTAGGAGAAAATACACCTGCACCGCGATCGTCGCGCCGTCGTGATACTCCAAAATGGACGATCCGGATGCGAGCTCCACCGAGACAAGAGCAGCCAATCCAATGGCTGCGAGCCGTCCGCTCAATCTCTCCGTGTACGCAGAAAATCCGAGCGAAACTGGTAGCCCGTCGGACATGGGATCCTTCAGTGGAAGAGGAGGCAGGATCTCGGCGATTTTAGCTGCTTCTGCAGCTGCTGACGTGGCGTCTGACGTGGAGGAAGCGGATGACGAGGAGGAAGCAGGCGGAGCGTCTCCGCTGGCCTTAGCTTTCCGCTCCTCCGCCTTTTTCCCCGTTCCGCTCGCGTTCTTCCGCCTTAGGCGCTCCAGACGAGCCTCGAATTCCTCGTCATCGCTGGACGCTCTGACGACGAGCCGCGAGACGCGGCTGCTGCTGACGTGTCTAGGAAGCGCCGACGCTAGACTGGTGGAAATGCGGGACGACAGCGACGACGCGGCGAGAGCGGAAGCCATGACTAGCGTCTGTGTCTGAGAATGGGGGTACTGTTGGTGGTGATGGTGATGGTGGTAACAGCGGTAACTATGCTGCGCAGAAACACGAGCGAGCCCTCGAGTCTTAGCTACCACAAACGGCGACTACCACCTGAATGGCTTTTGCAGGAAGCCTGAAGACAGCCGTTGAAATGAGAAGCTCCTAGAAACTAGTGTGCAGGAAATTTCACCATTGGGAATGTCGCGCTCCCCGCCACTTTGATCAGGCAGGCGGGAGGTTGCGCGGGAGGTTGCGCAGGATGTCGCAGAGGGTTGTGCCCTGTCGTGCAGAAGGTTGGGGAAGTGGCGGGCGGAAGCTTTGCACTGCCGGGCGGACCCTTGGAAACGTCAGAGCTTGAGGCCGGGAAAGGAACACGACGTGGTAACAGACACGTCATGAACACGTGTTCCGCGAGGCGCCTCAAGATCCGATGCCACGTCGCTAGGTTTCCTACCACGCGTCGCTCGGATGGTTTGCTTGAATTTTGCGTGGCAGCAAGTGAAAAATAAGCAGCCACGTTTGCAGGCTTCCACAGAAGCAGCGGAACCTGCTGACAGTGACGCTCCTATATCGCAGATTCCTAGTACCGAATTACCACAAATAACGCACTCGATAATCAAAATCTCTTGATTCTCTTTCAGATGAGTCTAATATTGATGGAAGCCATCACCATCATCCCAACATAATGGAGGCATTAGGCACTACCTAAGAACGGAATTAACAAAATAATTTCAAAATCATAGCTACAGAGTTGAAGCGGCAAGGCGATAGAAAAGGGCAAGGTCTTCAGACTTCTTCCAAATGTATGTGCGAACCGTGGCCAAGCTCATCTCCGGCTTGAGAAGCTGCCATGGAGGGAGAAAGACACAGAAAACAATACATATTATTGACCATGCGCTGGACATTAACACAGCATTAGCCTGGATGTTAGTTGATTTTTACAGATATCAAGCAAACAAGCTCACCTGATTAGATATCCCATTCTGAGGCTCACCTGATTATTGCAGAAAATCTCAACCACCACAGGAGGGGCCAGGGGTCCTACTGGCCCACCTGCTCTCCCCTTCATCCCCCCTCCGCTCTCCTCCTCTTCCTCTTGCAAGTCATCCAATCCCAGCTTCTCCCGCACATAGCTCATCACCTGCACGCACACATGAGAGGAGGAACTGGCGGATTTGTAAACATTTGTAATCAATATTCAGATTGCAAAGCGGTGATTCAAGCTTCTCCTGCACGTAGCTCATCGCCTGCAACAGAGACATCAGGAAAGAAGATGATGATTTTTTTTTCCTCTTTCTTTTTTTCTTGCCCTTCCATGTCACGCCCTTTCCCTGTCCACAACCCACCCCTGCACTCAGCCTGTTCTGCGTCATGCCATCGCCCTCCTTCTCACTTTCTCGCACCATAACGCCCTTCTCTTCCCCCCTGCCTCCCATCCAGCATCCACCTTACCTTGAGGATTTTGAGAATCTTGGGAGCGCTCAGCTTGTTCTGGGTCATACCCTTCCCCCATCTCGGGCTTGGGCCCTCCCTTTCCACTGCCCACCACCCACCAATGTCTATCCAGCATACCTTGAGGATTTTGAGAATCTTGGGAGCGCTCAGCTTGTTCTGTGTCAGAGGCCGCAGCTGTGAGCCATCCAGGGGTTGCAGGTAGAAGCTGCACCTGTGGGTTGGAGGGGGGAGAGAGGTGGGGTATAGGAGCACATACGGAAAGGAAGAGTGGGTTTTGGGGAAGAATAGAGGCGGGGAAGGAAGGTGGCCTTTGAAATAGCCGCAGCTGCGAGCCATCGAAGGGTTGCAGGTAGAAGCTGCACCTGTGGGGGAGAGAGGGGGGGTTGGTGGGTTGGGGGTTGGGGGGCACGATGGGAGGAAAGGGAGGTGAGCTTTAAAGTTCTTCGAACCTCCTTCGCTTGCTTCGCAATTTTTGGCTAGTCTCCTAGCTGTGAGCCATCCAACGGCTGCAAGCAGAAGCTGCAGCTATGGGGCGGGAGGGGAGGAGTAAAAGGGGGGTTGGGGGCAAAAAGGGAGGGCAAGGAGGTGAGCTTCAAAGGGCTGGGCAGTTGCGATCCATCAAGGGCTGCAGGTAGAAATGCATCTGTGGGTTTCGGGTTGGGGATGGGCGTGGCAAGCGGGGGAGTGGGAGATGGGCAGGACGATAGGTGAAAGGGAAGGAGGGAAGGCGAGGTGTTGTGTAAGGGTCACACAACTTCGGTCTACTGGTTCGAGTGTAACGAGCCAGACCAGAATAGCATGTCGTTGCGCCGCCACGCCACGCCACGCCACGCCACGCCACGCCACACCACACAACTTCGTTTTGAGAGCGCTGATGAAGGCCACCGGCCGAAACGCGCGTACGCTCAGGTTTGAATAAACGATTTCTTACCTACTATCCCTACTAGCCTAAGCTCTGCCATTAGGACAAGTTACCTGTTGGAGTAGGACGAGTCACCTGCGGATCCAGGTCGAAACTTTATACATATGCTTCAAAACTAGTCGTTGCGCCGCCACGCCACGCCACGCCACACAACTTCGCACCGCCATGGCCCGAACTGAGGGTTCTCTGTGATGATTTTGAGGCGCCTCACAAGTCACAACCCTGCACCGCCACAGGCCCAACCGAGGACCCTCTGTGACTATACATATGAGTCTCATCGGTTGTTGAATTTAGAGTCGACTTAGAATGAGGTGAATTTTGACTGAGTCGACTCAGAATGAGGTGACTTTTGACTGAGTCGACTCAAAATGAGGTGACTTTTGACTGAGTCGACGCAAAAGCCGCCACAGGCCCGACTGAGGACCCTCTGTGACCATAACTATGAGTCTCATCGGTTGTTGAGTGGGAAGCTGGGGTCCCTCTGGAGCAGTCGGTCGTTCCACACGCAATCAGCACACCACCCCAGGAGCAGCAGCGCAGCCTCACTTCTTCCTACCCACCTGAGGCAAAGTCTGATGACTGGTTTTGTTGTATCAAGTGGGAATTTCAGGCTCTTACTTGCTAGGGTCCCGCTGGGGCAGTCGGTCGTTCCACACGCAGTCAGCACACCAGCCAGGCAGCAGCAGCCTCGCTTCCTCCCACCCCGCCCCGTCCGCTGCTAGAGTCACAACCCGCCGCCGCCACGGGCCAAACTGAGGGCCCTCTGTGATTATAGAGGGCGGGAACTGGCTGGGGAACTCGAAGGAGGGGAGTAGGCCGGATAACACGTCCTCTTCTCCCTCCTCTTCTGACGTAGATGCTGCTACTGCTCCTCCTGCTCCTGATCTTACTCCTCCTCCCGCTCCTGCTCCTTCTCCTGCTGGCCCCACTGCCCTCCCTTGTGCTTCTGCTGCTTCTGTTGCTGCTGGGATTGATGTGGCTGCTGCTGCTGCTGCTGCTGCTGCTGCTGCTGCTGCTGCTGCTGCTGCTGCTGGCACTGCTGCTGTGGCAGCTGCAGCAGAGGCAGACCGTCTTAACCCGGTGTGTGCATTGGAAGAGGAGGAAGAGGAGGTAGTGGTAGCAGTGGTTGTGGCGGAGGAGGGATAAGCGGGGTGAGTGAGGGAGGAGGAGGGAGTGAGGGAGGCGGGTGTGTGGGAGGAGTGCACGGGAGGAAGTCTCTTCTCGTTGAGCCATGGCCATAGCAGGCCTCTTAGGGTTTGTTGACCCAGGTTCAACTGGTGGTGGTGAGAGAGGTGAGAGAAAAAAGGTTGAGGGAACAAAGGGTGAAGGAGAGTGCGAAAAGAGCGGTCTCTTCTTGTTGAGCCAGGGCCATAGCAGGCCTCTTAGGGCTTGTTGACCCAGGTTCAGATGGTGGTGGGGGTCGTGGGAGGGAAACCATTAGGAACTTAAGGGTTAGGGAGGGTGGACAGGAGGTTGAGGCACCTCCTTCTAAATAAGCCATGGCCAGAGCAGGCCGCTTGGAGTTTGCTGCCCCAGGTTCAACTGGCCATGGGAAAAGGAGAGCAAGGGAGAGGCGGGCAGGCAAGGGAAATTCGAGTAAGGGAAAGGGTGCACGGGAGGGCAGGGTAACTCCCCCTGTTGAGCCATGGCCAGAGCAGGCCGCTTGGAGCTTGCTGACCAAGGTTCAACTGGCCATGGAAAAAGGAGGGTAAGGGAGAGGCGAGTAGGGGAAAGTCGCTCAGCAGAGAAGCATTGGGGGCACGCCAAGGGGAGTGGGGTGGGGTGGGGCGGGGTAGGGTGCGGTGCCAGCACGCACCCTACCTACGATGGCCTAAGTTTGCGTACGACGTACACTCAGCGCTCTCCTCACCTTGAGGTCTTCAGACGCCCCTGGTACGTCCAGGTCAGTGGTGTAGATCTCAGCTGAGAAGCACTGTGGGCACTCCAGGTGCAGCGAGAGGCGGGAGAGTGAGCTTTGTGCATGTACCTGCACCTTGCACATGTACCTGCACCTTGCACATGTACCTGCACCTTGCACATGTACCTGCACCTTGCACATGTACCTGCACCTTGCACATGTACCTGCACCTTGCACATGTACCTGCACCTTGCACATGTACCTGCACCTTGCACATGTACCTGCACCTTGCACATGTACCTGCACCTTGCACATGTACCTGCACCTTGCACATGTACCTGCACCTTGCACACTAACACACTCACTCACCTTGAGGTCTTCAGACGCCCCCAGCACGTCCAGGTCAGTGGTGTAGATCTCAGGTGAGAAGCACTGCGGGCACTCCAGGTGCAGCGAGAGGCGAGAGAGGCAGGTGAGTGGCCGTACCAGTTACATACATGCACTACCCGCCTCACCTTGAGGTCTTGAGACGCCCCTGGTACGTCCAAGTCTGTGGCGTAGATCTCAGCCGAGAAGCACTGCGGGCACTCCAGGTGCAGTGAGAGGCGAGAGGGTGAGCTGTGCACGTACCTGCACCTTGTACCCCCCACCCAACCCTCCCCCCCCCCCCTTCTCCACTGCGGGCACTCCAGGTGCACAGGGAGGCAAGAGGGTAAACCCACACCTTCTTTCCTGCACGCTCACACACACTCTCCCCCTATGCACGTTCGAGACTTGCTATACCTTGAGGTCTTCAGATGCTCCTGGCACGTCCAAGTCTGTGGCGTAGATCTCAGCAGAGAAGCACTGCGGGCACTCCAGGTGCAGTGAGAGGCAAGAGGGTAAACCCACACCTTCTTTCCTGCACGCTCACACACACTCTCCCCCTATGCACGTTCGAGACTTGCTATACCTTAAGGTCTTCAGATGCTCCCGGCACGTCCAAGTCTGTGGCATAAATCTCAGCAGAGAAGCACTGCGGGCACTCCAGGTGCAGTGATAGACAGCCAAAGCGGAGGTCCACTGAGAACCACGGGCTTACGCTGATCTGGTGTTGAAAGGGGTGCAAGGGGTTGAGAGGGGTTGAGAGGGGTGAGGTGGGAGGGGGGGAGCAGAGAGGTGCTAGGTGCTAGCCAAAGCGGAGGTCCACTGAGAACCACGGGCTCACGCTGATCTAGTGTTGAGAGGGGTAGTGAGGGATGGAGAGGGGTGAGAGGGGGTTGAGGAAGGAAGAAGAGCGGTGCTGAAAGGTAGCCAAAGCGGAGGTCCACTGAGAACAACAGGGAGGCTCGCGCTGTTCTGATGAGTGGGAGAGGTGGGCTAACGAAGGGGTTGAGTTGTGAGGGTTGAGGAGGTGAGATTGAGGGAAGCCAAATCACAGGTCCGATGGGAGTGAGCGAGCCAGTGAGTGAGAGCGTGACTGGGTGAGTGAGTGAGTGAATGACTGGGTGAGTGAGTGAGTGGGTGAGTGCATGAGTGAGTGAGTGAGGGTATGTATCAATCCATCATCATGACGTACCATTTCAAAGAGCTCTTTTTCTTTTTCTTCAAATGACACCTGCACCAGACAAGGACAAAGACAGAGAAGTGCCAGGTGTTAAAAGTCAAGACGGAGATGGAAAACGGAACCTGGCAAAACACGACCCGACTTTGTGCTTCGTCACTTTTGAGACGCCTAAAACAATCCTGGAAAAATAGCAAACTTCGTGCATGGTCCCTGGTCAGCTGAATGCACTACAGCACATTATCGTGCACTGTACCACTGGGCGCCATGGCAGGCCATATATGGACCTGTACCACTGGGCGCCATGGCAGGCCATATATGGACCTGTACACCGCGTATCTACAGCAACATGCACTGAAGCATCACGCACTGTTGCAGCATGCATGCACCACTCACTCACCACCCCGTAGCTGGCAACAACAGCTCCCCGGGTGATTTCCCACAGACCACACCACACCTCCAACTAAAACAGCGTGTACCATGCACTGTAGCAGCGTGCACGGTAGCATCACACGCTGCTAGCACCATGCACCACTCACCACCCCGTAGTTGGCAACAACAGCTCCCCGGGTGATCTCCCACAGCTTCACCACACCTCCCTCGTCCTAAGTGGAGGGGTGAAGGGAGGAGGATGTGTGCCGGCGTTAGGGGACAAGAATGGGGATGGTGGGTAGGGGGAGAGTGCGTGCGTGGAAGAGAGAGAAGGAAGAGAGGCAAATGAATGTTAGAAGGTCACTGAGTGAGGTGAGCACATGCCGCACGTCATTCAAAATGGTGTGGCTTGTGCACAGACCCAATCCAACCCACCTGCACCCACACTAACGCAAACACATACTCATCCAGCATACATGAGGCTCACTCACCCGGGTGAGGACATGCCATCTGGATTCTGGATTATGTCGTTTAGAATGGTGTGGCGTGTGCACAGACCAATCACAACCCACTTACCCGGCACCCACACCCACACTAACGCACATATTCATCCAAGTATGCATGAGGCTCACTCACCCGGGTGGGCAGGGCATGTGCCGTCTGTTGTTGCAAATTGCAAAGCGTGCGATGGGTGTTGGTTGTTCCAACACCGGTAAGCACTCAAGCACTCAGACCCACGTGCACACAGGCACACAACACACATCCAACCACCCCCACAGGCACACAACACACATCCAACCACCCCCACAGGCGCACAACACACATCCAACCACCCCCACAGGCACACAACACACATCCAACCACCCCCACAGGCACACAACACACATCCAACCACCCCCACAGGCACACAACACACATCCAACCACCCCCACAGGCGCACAACACACATCCAACCACCCCCACAGGCACACAACACACATCCAACCACCCCCACAGGCACACAACACACATCCAACCACCCCCACAGGCACACAACACACATCCAACCACCCCCACAGGCACACAACACACATCCAACCACCCCCACAGGCGCACAACACACATCCAACCACCCCCACAGGCGCACAACACACATCCAACCACCCCCAATCCTTACCCGAGTGGGCACGTGCCGTCTGTCGTTCAGAATTGCATGGCGTGTGATGGATGCTGGTTGTGTCAACACCAGTAAACACTCAGACCCACACGCGCACGCACACATGCACAACACAAAAGCGCACGGAAGTTCCAAACACCCACACACAATTCTCACCCGCGTGAGCACGTGCCGCCTGTCGTTCAGTATGGCATGGCGTGTGATGGGTGCGGTGCCAAGGATGGCGGCGATCGGATGGGGGAATAGGGGAACCTGGACAAGTAGGAGAGGGGGAGAGCAGAAGGGGAGAGGGGAGAAAAGCAAGACAGTCAGTCTGTCTTTAGACGGGCATGGCATGTGATGGGTGTGGTGCGTGCAACAGATGGTGGCAATGGGATGAGCGAATAGAGGAACCTGGAAAAGCGGGGGGAAGAGAAGAAATTGGAGAGGGGAGAGGAGAGTGGGGAGTGAGGCAAAAGAGGAAAGAGGAAAGAGGAAAGAGAAAGGAGACAGGGGATGAGCGCACACAGGGGATGAGCGCACACAGGGGATGATGGCATCCCAGGGGAGAAGGGGAGTGGAGAACATGGGTAAAAGAAGGAAGAAGGGCAGATGCAAGCAGGGGAGCAAAAGCAAGCAGGAGAGCGGAAGCAAGCAGGAGAGTGCGCATTTGAATCAACAGAGCAGGAGAGCATTCCACCCGACAGAGGAGGGAGTTTCTGAGGTGAATCTTCTTCAGTTAACAGTGTGAAAGAGCCTTCCACACTAGCTCGAGCGGAGAGGTCAGCACTCGCACAGACGAAAGACCCATCCGGTGACATGCCTTTGCAAGCAAGAGGAGAGTTGAATGCGTTGATGGTAATTTTGAGACTTCTCAAAAGCACTCGCACAGACGAAAGACCCATCCGGTGACATGCCTTTGCAAGCAAGAGAAGAGTTGAATGCGCCCCACCCACCAGAGAGAAAGAGCTCTCCACGCTAGCTCGAGCACGAGACATCCCAAGGCTGCTGGCGACGAATGTGCTGGCGGAGAGGTCAGGACTCGCACAGAACATCGGTCCATTCGGTGACCCAGTGGAGGGTGGAGGGGAGGGAGATTGGAGTGCACTTCACTCACCAGAGAGAAAGAGCTTTCCACGCTGGCTCGGGCGCGGGACACCCCAAGGCTGCTGGCGATGAATGTGCTGGCAGAGAGGTCAGGACTCGCACAGAACACCGGACCATTCGGTGACACGCCCCCCTCCTCCTCTCCTGCTCCCGCCCCTCTTCTTGCCTCATCTCCTCCGCAGTCTGCTTGCGCTGCTGCTGCTCCAGTCACTTGCTCCTCCACCCCACCCGCCACCCTCCTTGCTGCCTTCTCCCCGTCCTCCCCTACCCATGCGTCCCCGGTCCCGCCTGTCAAAGCAGCAGAGTCAGCAGGCCAACACCGGACAGACGAGGCAGAAGTGCTAACCCACATCCTGTCACAATCCAGCCGTCTCTCTATCACTCCTCCTCCTCCTCCTCCTCCTCCTCTCCTCTCCCCTTCTCTTCTGTCCTCCCTTCCCCCTCTCCCCTTTCCCCCTCTCTCCCCGCCAGGCTGTAACGCCAGGTGGAGCACGGGGCGATCCTCCTTGGCCAATAGGATGCTTTCCCGCGTGGCGAGATCGGTGACGTAGACCTGAGACGATGTTTAATGGAAGGGGGAAAACAGGAAGCCAAGGGACTTTGAGTTGAGACCCATCAGAAAAGGATGAGGGGTGACCCTCCTTGGCCGATAAAATACTTTCCCGCGTGGCGAGATCAGTTACATAGACCTGGGAGGGTGAGCATGGAAAGGTCGTTTTTGAGGCGCCTCAAAAACGACCTCAGTTACATAGACCTGGGATGGTGAGCATGGAAAGGGGGGCGAGCAGAAAGCACAGGGAGTTCAGATACCCATCAGAACAAACGGAATGAGGAGCGATCTTCCTTGGCCAATAGGATGCTTTCCCGCGTGGCCAGATCGGTGGCGTAGACCTGGGAGGGTGAGGAATGAAAGGGGGGAAACAGGAGACATAGGGAGTTCAGATACCCATCAGAACAGAATGAGGGGCGATCCTCCCTGGCCAATAGGATGCTTTCCCGTGTGGCCAGATCGGTGGCGTAGACGTGCGAATACTGGGGTGAGCAAGAAGTGTTTTGAGACGTCTCAAAACACTTGTTCAATCAGATCGGTGGCATAGACGTGCGAATACTGGGGTGAGCAAGAAAAGAGCGGCAAGAGAGAAGGTGAGGAAGCAAAGAGCAAGGAGACGAGACCCATCGAACACACACACATTCACACACCCACTCACACACCCACTCACACCACGCAAACAATCACCGACCCACACACATATACAGACACAAACACACACGCGGACCTTCTTCCTTTGGCCCACTTGTCGCCCCTCCCCCCCCCCCCCACACAAACACTCGCGCCCCCCTTTGGCCCACTCGTCGCCCACTCCTTTGACACACACACACACACACACACACTCGCGCCCCCCCCCACACACAAACACTCGCCCACACACACACGGCACTCACACATGCATCTCTGCCCCCGCTGTAGACACGTGTGAACTCCTCATTGGCTGCCACAGCCCACACTGAGTCTGTGTGCACCGCGTACGAGTGCACACAGCGCTGCTGGCCCAGGTCCCACAGGCTGTGTCCAGGAGAAAAAAGGAGAGAGGGAGAGAACACTCGCACACATGAGTCAGAGTGCACACCGCACAGCCCACACTGAGTCTGTGTGCACCGCGTACGAGTGCACACAGCGCTGCTGGCCCAGGTCCCACAGGCTGTGAAGGGAAGGGGGTGTGAAATCAAGGAGAAACAAACAGAAGCACGAAAAAAAACGCACATGAGTGCACCGCACAGCCGACACCGAGTCTGTATGCACTGCGTATGAGTGACACAGCGCTGCTGGCCCAGGCCTCATAACCTGGGAGAATTCACGCAGAGAAAAGAAAGCAGGGGCATAGTTGGCTGAAACACCCTGTGCACAGGGCACAGTGCACCGTGTATGAGTGCACGCAGTGCTGCTGCCCTAGGTCCCACAGCGGCACAGACAGCCTGCACCAAGGAGAACGAAGCACACAGGGAGAAGGAGCAGGGTGAGGCAGTGAGCAGGTGCACAGCCCCCACCGAGTCGAGTCTGTATGGACGGCGTTGGAGTGCACACACACAGCGCTGCTGCTCTAGGTGTTTTGAGACGTCTCAAAACACAGGGAAGCAGGAGCAGGGTGAGGCAGTGAGCAGGTGCACAGCCCACAGCGAGTCAAGTCTGTATGGACGGCGTTGGAGTGCACACACACAGCGCTGCTGCCCCTGGTCCCACAGGCTGGGAAAGCCAAGAGTCAAGAGGGAAGTCGAGTTTAGGGGAAACACACACAGAGACACACCGAACAGGGGGTACTTCTGTGCGAGTGGCACAGTGACTTTCCAGATGAATTATCTCTACTGTTTAACAAGGTGACTTTAGAGCCGACTCAAAAGTCACTTCTGTGCGAGTGGCACGGCGGCGCCGGTGACTTCTCAGATGATTGACTAACTAAATCCGTGCAAAAGGAGCCATTGTCTCTACTGTTTGACACTCCAGATAAAGAAACGGGCTTAGAAGCTTCTAGTGTGCACCAGATGATTTGAGTCCGAGACAGGTTTTGAGACGTCTCAAAGGTTTAGGCGTTTTGAAAGAGCTCACCGGATAATTGAGTCGGAGGAGCCGGACAAACAGAACCTGCAATGGCGTGTGTGAGAAGAGGGATGGGGAGGGAGGGAGAGAAAACAGACGGTTTGAACCGGGAGCGATCGTAGCTATTTGATGCTGACCCATCAGATGATTGAGTCGGGGGAGCCGGACACACAGAAACTGCAATGGGGTGTGAGAGGAGGGGGAGGGAGGGAGAGAAAACAGACGGTTTCAATCGAGAGCAATCGTAGCTATTTGATGCTGACCCATCAGATGATTGAGTCGGAGAAGCCGGACAAGCAGAACCTGCAATGGGGTGTGAGAGGAGGGGGAGGGAGGGAGAAGATGCGTTGAGTTGGAAGAGAGACTGTACCTACTTGGGTGAATGGTTTCGTGCACGCACACACACACACGCTGCGCACCTCCACGCCCCCCCAACAAACACACAACACAAAGTGACTTCTGAGTGGACTCGAAAGTCAGCATGGGGTCCATTCCATCGCCCAACATAAACTCACACACGACCTACCACAGCATAGAGCCAATTACCTGCCAGTCGGATCAACAGCCAGTGCTCTAATATTCTCCGTGTGCCCTTTCAGCTTCATCTTCTTGGCACCCATGGGTCCCATCCCATCCCACACAGGATGCCCACCACCACCTCCTCTCACGCCTTGCCTCACCTTACCACGTGTTTGAAGAAGTGTTTTGAGACGTCTCAAAACACGCCTTGCCTCACCTTACCACGTGTTTGAAGAAGTGTTTTGAGACGTCTCAAAACACGCCTTGCCTCACCTTACCACGTGTTTGAAGAAGTGTTTTGAGACGTCTCAAAACACGCCTTGCCTCACCTTACCACGTGTTTGAAGAAGTGTTTTGAGACGTCTCAAAACACGCCTTGCCTCACCTTACCACGTGTTTGAAGAAGTGTTTTGAGACGTCTCAAAACACGCCTTGCCTCACCTTACCACGTGTTTGAAGAAGTGTTTTGAGACGTCTCAAAACACGCCTTGCCTCACCTTACCACGTGTTTGAAGAAGTGTTTTGAGACGTCTCAAAACACGCCTTGCCTCACCTTACCACGTGTTTGAAGAAGTGTTTTGAGACGTCTCAAAACACGCCTTGCCTCACCTTACCACAAAGCCACTCACCTGCCAGTGGGATCAACAGCAACAGCCCTGATGTGCTCCGTGTGCCCTTTCAGCGTCATCTGCTTGGTCCCTGTGCGAGGGTCCCACACGCGGACCACCTTCTCCCCTTCATACCCTCTCTCGTTTCCCTTACACACCCCAGCATGATCAATCAACAGCCACTCACCTGCCTGAGGGCTCGATAGCAAGTGCCCTGATATTCTCCGCGTGCCCCTTTAGCTTCATCTGCTTGGTCCCTGTGCGAGGGTCCCACACGCGCACACCACCACCATCCTCCTGATCTTTTCCCCCCATAGGGTCAACAGTCGCTCACCTGCCCGTAGAATCAACAGCCAGAGCTCTAATATTCTCCGTATGTCCCTTTAGTTTCATCTGCTTGGTCCCCGTGCGAGAGTCCCACGCATGCCCTCTCCGTTCCCTCTTATCTGCCACTCACCTGCATGTGGAATCAATCAACAGCCAGAGCTCTAATGTTCTCCGTGTGCCCTTTCAGCTTCATCTGCTTGGTCCCCGTGCGAGGGTCCCACTCATGCCCTCTCCTTTCCCTCTCTTGTTATCTGCCACTCACCTGCCAGTGGGGTCGATAGCAAGAGCTCTAATATTCTCCGTATGTCCCTTTAGTTTCATTTGCTTGGTCCCTGTGCGAGGGTCCCACACGCGAACCACCTTCTCTGTGCCGCCCGAAACCACCACACTCCCGGCACTGTTCATCGCCACAGAATACACCGAGTCCTTATGCCCCTTGGCCGGCACTGGAGAATATACCCCGACTACCGGCCCCGCAGCTGAACCCACTCCTGTCCCCCCTGTTGTTCCCCCCGCCCCCCCCGCTCCCCCCGCTCCACCTGCTCCCCCCGCTCCCCCTGCTCCTGAGCCTGTACTGCCTCCCCCTAGCCCCGAAGCAGCAGCAGAGGTAGCAGGGGAAGCGGTAGACGCGGAAGCAGGGGGGCCGGAGGAGGAGGAAGAAGGGGGAGAAGAGGAGGTATGGGGGAGAGACCCCCCTGACCAGGTGAGAGGCTGTGCTGCTGCTAAGTCCCAGATGAACAGCTCTGAGCCAAGACCGGCTGATGCCACAAGAGGGACCTGAGGAGAAAGGGGATAGGGGAAAGAGAGGGGACTGTGTTGATTGATACGGAGAGGGTAGGAGAAGGAGGGGAAGAGAGGAGGGAGAGACCCCCATGATCAGGTGAGTGGCTGTGCTGCTGCGAGGTCCCAAACGAGCAGCTCTGAAGCCACTGGAGAAACCTGTGGACGGGTGGGGGGAGAGGGGAGAGAGATGGAAATGTGTTGACGAGGATAGGGTAGGAGAAGGGAGGGCAAGAGGGGAGAGACCCTCCTGACCAGGTGAGTGGCTGTGCTGCTGAACCGAGACCCGTTGATGCCACTAGAAGAACCTGTGGACGAGGGGGAAGAGGAGGGAGGGGGGCGCGGGAGAGAGGGGGGCGCAGGAGGAAGGGGGGCGCAGGAGGAAGGGGGGCGCAGGAGAGAGGGGGGCGCAGGAGAGAGGGGAGAGGTAGTTGCTGGGACGACGCTGCCAGCAAGAGCGAAGACTGTCGTCGTTGTGGTGCCCGAGTGCTGCTGCACTGCATGCATGCTGCAGTGCTGTTACTATTAGGGGCAAAGGTGAGCATGACACCCACATCGCGGGCGGCAGCGAGAGCAATCACGTAGTCGCTGTGGTGCCGCAGTGCTGCTGTTACTAAGAGAGGGGAGAGGCGAGCATGGTGCTACTTACATCGCGGGCGGCAGCGAGAGCGATGACGTAGTCGCTGTGGTGCCACAGTGCTACAGTTACTAGAGAAGGGGAGAGGCGAGCATGGTGCTACTTACATCGCGGGCGGCAGCGAGAGCGATGACGTAGTCGCTGTGGTGCCGCAGTGTGTCGGTGCACTCGCCCCTTGGGGAAAAGGCCTTCCATGTCTAATTCGTGCACACATGAATGCACACAAGGAGGGCGTGGGGGAAAAGGGGATTGTAGGGACAGCTTAGTAGATAGATTGAGAGCACACGGGTGCCACAGGGTGTCGGTGCACTCGCCCCTTGGGGAAAACGCCTTCCATGTCTGGTGTGTGCACACAAGATGCGCATGCACACAAGGAGGACAGAAGAAAAGGGGTTTTGGGGACAGCTGGGAAGACACTGCTGCCAAAACATGGGTGCTGCAGGGTGATGGTGGGATGATGCTGCAAGCAGCGTGGGTGTTGGTGCACTCGCCCCTTGGAGAAAAGGACCAGGAGACGAGCGTGTCCGCCCCCACTAACACCACGTCATTCACCCAGTCTGTATGTGGCTCGAATGTCCCCTGAGTCAACTCTACACGTGCAATGCTCTGAACGACTGACATGCCACAACCATGCGTGAACAACTCACCTTGAGGGATCCATCGGAGGAGCATGAGACGAGCGTGTCTAATCCCACCAGCACCACATCATTCACCCAGTCTGTATGCGACTCGAACGTCACCTGAGTCAACTCTACACGTGCAAAGCAATGCTCTGAACGACTGGCTTGCTGCAACCATGCGTGAGCGACAGGCTCACCTTGAGAGAGCCATCGGAGGAGCATGAGACGAGCGTGTCCTCCCCCACCAGCACCACATCATTCACCCAGTCTGTATGCGACTCAAACGTCGTCTCATATACTCCTCTTTGTGTTAAAGCTACCGCACCTCCGTTCCCCCTCCCGTACCGATCCTCCTCTGCAGCTCTGGAACCCGCCGAGCCTACCGGAACCCTCCACCGCTTTATGGTTCCGTCCCGGCTTCCTGTGAACACTAAATCCTCGATGAAAGCCTCCTCGTTATAATCACCATCATTGCTGCTTCTATTGTGGCCGTGGGAATGTGAGTGTGGGTGAGAGTGGGGCGATCTGGGTCCCTGCTGGTGCAGGTACCATGCTGACGTGGCAGGAGGGGCGAGGCATACACTGTTGACGCCAGCACAGTGCTGCGCAGGTGGGGGCAGGAATCAGGGGATGGGGGAAAAGGGGGAAGAGCAGGAAGCAATGGGAGGGATGCTGTAGAAGGCGAGAGTGGGGGAGTTGGGCGTTTGAGTCGGGGAAGGATGAGGAGGGAGAGGGGAGGATGGTGATGGAACAAAATAGAAGCGGCAGTGCGACCTAGTGCGAGGTCAAGCGAACATTCTCCGTGCCCCATGCTCATGGTGCGCATGACGAGGGGTACAGAAGAGCTATGAGGGATAAGGGGCAAGGATCGGAGGTGAGGGGGGATAATGAGGGGTGCAATATGTAAAGGTGACTGATGAAAGGTGACAAGTAAGAAATGAGAACCAGAGTTTGGGGGGAAGGGGGGGTGGGGTGTGGGGGGTGGGGAAGGGTGTTGAAAACTAAGAGGGGTTAAGGAGGGATCTGCGGCGATAATGACAGACAGGTCATTGGAGGCAAGGAACGTCTGGGTACCTCATTAACGTTATATTCGAGTTTAAGGTCTCCAGCTGGCAATAATCATGACTCTATTATGCATCTCCAACTCACGGTGGTATTATCCGAGCCGCGCACGACGAACGTGACCTTCCGCTCCTTGCGGGGCCTCGCCATGGTCCCACCGCCAGTCACACCGATGCATTGCCGTGGTCCAGTGCGGTTGAAAACGGTTGATTGCTTTTTTTACTCTATTCTACGTTCTCAACTCACGGTGGTGTCGTCAGAGTCTCGCACGACGAACGTGACTTTCCGCTCCTTGCGGGGCCTCGCCATGGCCCCTCCGCCAGTCGCCATGGTCGACATGGCTCCCGCGCTCGTCGACCGATGCATTGCCGCGGTTCAGTGCGGTTGACAGTGGTTGATTGCGTTTGACTGCGGTCGGAAGAGCCGAGAATGAAACGCAGTTACATGTGATAAGAGGGGATCACCAATGGCGAATAGCGAATCTCGGTGTTCGCGAATCTTGCTTCCTTTCAATCCCGGTTGGCCCCGGTCAAAGGAATGAGTAAAATTCGGTTATTTTAACCTCGAATGAGTGGCTTACTGAGCGAGAAGACCGCAGCCAATGACATTATCTAAGAGTTCTCTAACGCGTATGCCTTATTGAGGCCGTATCCTAAACGATCACGAATGGCATGTTCGACGGAACGCAGAGAGCCTCGAGATTGCCGACGGATTCGCGCCAGCACACATTCATATGCAACAGACGCCGCGTCTCAGATTTCCATCAAAGCTCCTGCGGAACTCACCGATTAAAATACCACCGCCCTCCCGCGAACCGAGAAACTCATTCAAAGGAGCCAGCGTGGAGGACCTTGGTCCGCAATGAGAAGCAAGTCTGTTGAATCACAAAAACCACGGGCCACATGAAAGTGATATGCGAATCTGTGGATGAAGGTGACTGTAACGGGGTGCCAAGGGAAGAATGGGAAAGGAGGGTGCAAATATCAAATTGATCGGGTTGGTCATGAAAAAACACATTTTATATAATCATAGCACAACATTTGGGGTGGCGGGGGGGGACACAGTACTGTAGTACAGTAATATCGAGTCCTTTCGTGGACATTCTGTGGTGGGATTTTGCACCCCCCACCAATTCGCGGCACTCACGGAAGACTGGCCCATGATACTAAATGGTCAAGGTGATTGCGGTCCTGGCGACTATTTGCCGCGCCACCACATGAGCTATTACTATACATTCCTAGAAATTCTTGACTTAAGTTCTGAATGTTTCCACGGGGTATCCGCGGTTTAGCTATTGCGCTGCTTCTTGCGCGAATGCAGTCGGCGCGCGGAGGGCAGCCGGGTGGAGAGCAATTACCGGAAAGTCGCCAGCGCATGGCGGACGGGAGCGAGGGGTTAGCGGAAATGAGCTTGAATGGCGGGAATGAGCGGGAAATCAGGGGAGAGAACAACGACATGGCGGAAATCACCAAAGAAATGGCGGAGGAGAGTGGGGGAATGGCGGGGGAGAGCAGTAGAACGGGGCGACGGAGTGGGGGAAGGACAGAAGAGAACAACTTCAGCTACAATCACACTCTCTCCAATCATACTCGCGCTGGCACGCGCAAACGCGCTATTCCAGGAGACGTGCTGCTGGAGCTGGGCGAAGCGGGACCCACGGGGTTCAAGCGGCTGCTGGGCGTCGCGGGCGTGCTGCCGGAAATTCACCGCCGCCTGCGGCGCAGCAATGCGACCGTGCTCGCCCCGTCGGATTCGGCACTAGCGGCCCTGCTACCGTTGGTGCTCCCCTTGGTGCTGCAGAGACTGGAGGCCTCGGCGCTACTCCCCAGGAATCGCCAAAACAATGCGGCATTTGCAAGAAAACTAAGGGCGACACAACAAGGAGCGAGAAGAGGGGAGAGTTTAAAAGCGCAGCTGGGTATTCCGAACGAGCAGCAGCTGGGTGGGTTGCGGCAGGACTCGTCCCAACAGCTAGGGTCGGCAGAGAGATGGAAGGACTCGTCCGAACAGCTAGGTTCGGCAGAGAGACAGGAGGTCCTGAGGGAGATAGCCCTGTGCCACGTGATCCCATCTAGGGTTTCCCTCCTGCAGTGGCGCGGCGAGCATAGGTCGCTGCAGGGCACTCGCCTTAGTCTCGCATCCTCTGGGCTTAGATTCAGTGTATCCAATGTGCCTGTATCGAGTATCGATCCGGGAGGTGTGCCTGTGTTGAATGGGGCTTTATCGAGAGGGGATGTGTCGAGTGTGGCTGTAACAGTGGGTGCCACTGTAGTCACGCGGCGCCTGGTAGTGTACACTGTAGAGGGAGTGCTGCTACCCTCACTGCTGGGAGGGAGTGTGAGTGTAGATAATAGTAAGAAGGAGAAGGGTGATGCAAGCAAGAGGAGGGAGAGAGGGGGTTGGGGTGAAGGAAGGATTTGGAAGGAAGATTCAAACCAAGGGTTTGATGATGCTGCAGCTCATGACATTAAACAAATCGAGCAGACTCTAAATGCATTCTTGGACAGGCAAACTTTTGGTAAGACTTCAGTGTGGGCCCTGTCCCTGTCCAATTCCGGTCCCTACTGTATGATTCGTTGTTCCCTTTGTCCATATGTCCAGTCCTGTAGTCTTGCCCTGTTTCTGTGCTATTTCGGGAATCTATATCTCCTGTCATCCATTCCAGAAGTGGTCACTTGAGAATTGCGTGTCTATGCAGCTCGAGTCAAACCAAGTTTCTCGACAACAACCATCAGTGGCGCGTGTCTTATGGTTCTATTGGCCTTGCTGACTTATCGAATCAGATGCAAGGTAAGCAGTTACAATTCTTATGTGTTGTCTAACATTTCAAGCCTTCCTGGTGGGCCTTCTCATTCTACTAATGACTAATTTGGTGCCTTCTATGGTTTTTTACCTGGCCATATGATGATGCCATGTGATTTTTGATACTGGTTATTTGTATTTGAAGACCCTTCTGCGTCAAACTAAAGGCTGTATGCGAGTTCGAAAGACCAGCTAATGTATAGGCTTTGTAGATTACATTGCTTAACATAAAGCTCTCACTAGCGCTTATGCTAATGGCGGGGAAAATCGCACACACCCAACGAAGCTATTTGGCGGAGAAAAAAACGAACCACACGCAGCGTTCTGCAGGCGCATCAGCCTGATTCGCCTGTTCGGAACATCTCAAATGTCGATTTCTGAGATACCAAATTTGTAACAAACGGAATTTGAAACAAACACGTGCGTTCATTTATCACGTCTGTACAGCTCATCCGTCGTGGCGCAAAAGGATTCCAGACGGTTCACAGCGTTTCCTAAAAATTACCGTTTAAAACCGTGTCACAACGAGAGTAATCGCTCATAATGAGCTGTACACCAGCAATAAACGAACGCGCTCGCCCCGCCCTTAGTACGGAGCTCCTCGCACGAAACACAAAATACACGGAACTGAACGCGATAAGAGATCCAGGGAGCGCAGATACAGCCTAGAACTCCCAAATGCATTCCGTAATTCCCAATGCTAGCTTTGTAGG